TTTGTTTTTTAAAGATACATACCCTCTGGCTCCATCAACTGCTATTTAGAGCATGAATTTGAGATTTTGTTGAGTTGGAACTAGGCTAAATTGCAAATAAATATGAACAGAAGATTATATTTTATTTACAGTAAGAAGCAATATTTTTTCTAGACTTTTGTTATGGATTTTGGCATAAGATGGCAAAACAAGTATTTATACACATTATTTTAGCTCTTCTTATCAAAGAAAACTTGGATAGATCTATGCAAGCAGACAGTGGTTGGTTTCTTGATGGCTGACTGCAGCTGCAAAGCAACCTTCTTCTCTGTTATGGGTAGGACATGCAGTCTAGAAGCTTTCCGGCACTGAATATTCCTGGAGCAAATATATCTTTACTGTCATACACACTGGAATGATACTATAATCAAAGACATAATCCGGAGCTTTATAAAGCTCTGAAAAGAGAGACGGACAGCAGTTAACTTGCTGATCAACGGACTGTCAGATAAGATTGCTACGGGGATAAATATAGGCTTTTCATAACCTTTGGCTGGCGTACAAAGAACATGCAACCTAGTCAGTGACATCTTTCATGCTTCAAGAATTTGTTCTTGGCAGAACCATGATATAGCGGTTTAAAGACTGTTTTTGCAACCACTTACAAGATGACAGCTTCACAGGTGTCACCTCTCAAATTTACATTTTTTTTTATTATTCTAAATTATATTTTCATATCTTTAAGTACAAATATTAAGGCATATGTCAGGTAGAGCAATGTCCATGGATTGTTGTATTAATCCAGGAAGATCAACACCATCTAGATTAGAACGTTGAAGAAAGAATTCCAGTGATCCGATTAATGCAATTTGATATACGCTGTTCCTGATTTCAGTTGAACTCATTAAAATTAAGATTGTGATATTCTAAGCATTTCTGAAATCTGATTCTGATATCTGTTTGGGAAAGACATCTAAATACAGTAGGTCTGTCACTGGGAGCATCTACACGTGCAAATGCTGCTGGATGGGTTTACTCCTCAGTAATTTACTGCAAAGTAAGACCACCCTGGACAGGCATCTCTACAAGTGGGCATTTGGGAGCATGTTTGTTCCCAATTGGAGAAGCCTGGAGAGGGCTGCTCCCACACTGCTCTACCTCCCTGCAGCAGCCAGGGGGTGCTCCAGGCTCCCCTATGTGCTAGCCCAGGGGCTGACAGGGAGCATGGAGCAAGGAGACAAATTGTCTTCTGGTAGGGGCTGGGAGATTGCTCCCTGCCCTAGGGAGCTGCCTGCTGCTGTGGTGGGCTCCGGTGGCAGAGCCCAGGTTGGGACAATATCCCCTTACCCCAGCAGCAGGCAGCTCCCAGAGGCAGGGATCAATCTCCTGCCCCTGCTGCCTGGCTGACCGGGAGCAAATTTGCTCCCAGTCAACTGTCTACACATGCCTTACTTTGCAGTAACTGCTCAGCAGTTAATTTGCTACCTGCAAATGCAATTGAAGGTGGCAAATTAACTGTGGAGTAGAACAAATTACTGTGCAATAAGGGTCTGCACATGTAGACAGTGACACTTACTGCGCAGTAATTTGCTTTACTGCACAGTAAAGCATCTTATGTAGACGCACCCTCTGAATGTTATAAGTCACATGTTATACTTCTCACTTTGTTTTGGCATACCTGTGTGATGTAGACTTTCCCATATTCATGCCTTTTGGCAAATGTAGCTAAGAGCTAGATCTGCAAAGATAGACACAAGCATCTCTACTCCAGAGATTTTATGTTAAATACATTGGAACGCAGGTCAGTGACCTTATAGCTGTGCTACATTAACTGTGTTGCCATTTATTTCAACAGGACCAGGATGTCACTCATTAATAACTCAGCTGGACAGAATAGTCATATTTTTAAAGGAAAATACCTTTGGCATTTAGCCAAAGAGGCAGTAATTCTAAATGAATCTTCAGGGAGGTTAGTCTTGGCTGTGTTTTACAGCAGACCTGGATTCTTCAGTCTTTACATACACACATTTTAGTGGCAGGCAGTGCAAGTTTTTATCTGTGGCAGATTGACAGGATCAGGTCCACTATGTCAGAAACTCAGATCACGATTACGTATCTTGACAAAGAAAATTGCTTCCATGAAACAGCTCACTTTTCTGCTGAATAGATCATCTGCTGCAGAGCAAGTGTCAGCCACTGCATAGAACCTGTGCACTTTGTAATCATTAGTGCCACTGATTCAAATGTACAAAGGCTGCCCTTGTTTGTAATTTTAGCTTATTCTTTAATTGTAATATTCTTAGCAGAAACACGTGACTGTCAGCAGGTAGTCCATATTCAATGAGTTAAAGCAAAACTATGCTTTTTAAGAAAGCCCAGAAGACATGGTACTAATATTTGTGAAAGAAATTTAGTATTACAGGATACACTGCTCATTACAGCATAGGCATGCTTTGACACTATTTGGTTTATTTTTCTGACCAAAACGCGGTTTCAAACTGAAATCAGTATCTTACAGTATGATAAGCACAAATTATAATGCTGATAATATATTGATAGCAGCTGTTTTTAACAATATTTACACTTATATCATCAAAGCTAGAAAGGTTTACAACACCTAAAAAGCAGCTATATTATAAGTAGAGTCAGCTTTTAAAACTTTTTGGTTTAAAATATATAAAATATAATTAGAAATGGGCAAATAAAGTGACTGGCACAATCATGTTCCACAAATTCGAAAGTAAAGAATCATTTAACTAAAATTCCCCTTTATCAGGGAAGAGATGCCAGAAATATGTTTAATGGTAAATAGCTGAAATGTTCATCTGAGTAATACTGCCCTAAGCACTCAGCCTGAACTTATATGTGCAATGAGCTAAGACTTTGGCCCTAACACAGCAAAGTACTTTTGTTCCATGGAAACCTCATGCTGGCTTGAGGCCTGTATAGTTACCAGAACCATTAAATGTGAGCAGAATTCATCCAGGAGCAAATAAAACATCACTAGATGAAATCACAGCTTCCATGCAACACAACCCCATGCACTACTATAAGATTTTACATCTCGTTTACACAACAGAGCAATATAGAGACCCAGCGTACAAACTGTCTCGTATGAAAGAAGTACTGACACAAGGTAGTAATGCCTTGTGATTCTACAACAGGACTGACTGTGTCATTTTAGGTGAGACAAGGATTTGTATGGGATGATTTGGTTAGGGATGATCTTGCTTCAGGGTGGTGAAGGTTTCTCTGATGGACCAGGCAGGATGGACTAGATGACCATCCAGGGTCCCTTCCATCTCTAATTTTCTGATTCTGTGATTAAGGTAGGCTTTGCAGGATTGAGTCCCTACTTTGAATTTTATCCCTACGTATTTTGCATATTTTATTTCTTTTACAATGTGGTATGGATTTTAATTATAAATCCACTTGATCTGTCACCTCACAATCCTTTTCCAAACCATGTCCAGCATGCCCATTCAACTCCCTGAACTTGAATGGGGCTATCCAAGGCTGCCAAGAAAGACTTAATCCTTTCTTCCCTAAGTAGCCTGTATAAATTGTATTTGTTACTGCTGGGTGGTTATGTTATATGAATACAAGGAGTGATAACATCAGATTGCACTGATAAAAGTAGATGTTAGCCAATATATCACTCTGACGTATATATCATGAGGGTTGAGTTAGGTAAAATTAATATAACAAATACTATAGGCAACAGAGAGGTTATGTCAGTAATATAGCCAATTCTTAAATGTCACACATGCAATGTGTAGTAGAAACACATTTCTAGCAGCATACAATTCCAAAAAGACTATCTACAGCAGTGTATACACAAAGCAAAAGTAGCCACATGCAAACTGAGAAAAAAAGTGAATCTTAGAAGTTGCTCTTTTCAAAGACTGTTGTGAGGACTGCCTAAGGATTTTGAAGTACAGGGTTTAGCTTACAGCACAGAAAATCTCTAGGGCTCAGAAACACGTGACAGATTCATTGTCCAGAAGCGTTAATAAACTAGGACATGCAAATATGGAGTTTAAACTCCAAATTTAGATGACTAACAAGCCATGGCCTTTTTTTTTATTTCATTGTACACGAAAGGGAAAAACTGTGTGTGTATTGTGGGGTGCGGGGAGCATTATTTTAGGTATTATTTAAGGTATGTGGGACCCAATTCCTGCTCCAGCCAAACTGTTCTTAGTGAATGACTGGAGAGGGAAAGCAAACATGACTTTAGGCCACTTTTATATTTACCTCCTTTTGGGCTGGCCAGGGTCAAGCTGATTCTACAGTCACTCCAACATCCAAGAATTTACTAGCAGCTGAGGATCAGTGAGATTCCAGGATGCCCTGAACAGGTCCCTTCCCCACAGGAATGTCCACTGTGCAGGAGGCCAAGAAGAAATATCCTGTGGCCAAGAAGAATATGCAGGAGGCCAAGAAGACAATATTCTGTGTCAAAACCTGAAAAGTAAGAGACCTCCAAAGCCTGATTCTCCATAACACTAAAGTTTTATGCTGGTGTATTTCCATTGACATTAACGATGCAACAGCTAACAAAAAACCTGGTTTGCCATTTTTTGAAAACTTGCTTATTTCTCTTTTTTTAAGGAAAGACAATATAAATACTTTCCAAAAAAGGAATGCCCATAATCACAACTCTCTAGCTCTGCAAACTCAGAGCCAATACAAAAATATGCCTTCCGCTCAGCTGAATTTTGTGTTGTCAGCTCAGTGCAGGAACCTCAGGGAAAGATGCACAGTGCTCACGAGGAACATGTGCTGTCCTCTTGATTGAGCCCAGGTTGCGTTTTCAGTTCTCTTTTCCCTACACACAGGTTTTCTTGTTTAACGGAGATTGTGTAACGGAAGGTATCAGGAACTCCTGCCAAAGATCTCCCCGCAGGGAGTACAAGGGGCACACCAGCTTCTTTACCTGCAGCTCCTTGCTGGATCCAGATGCACTGGTATCTTTGTGGGAAATGCATGGTTTCTGCCCCCTCTCCATGGCAGAAAAACTAAACACTTTCCTCTTCCTTTGTGATACTATAATCTGTTAGCAAAGTGACACTGATTTCTGAGCCGTGTGTACTGCCTGTGACTGATAGGGCTCTGGTTGGCGTGTTACTGTGGGTAATGCTAGGAGGCCGTGTAGGAAGTCTTGCCTTGCAACACACAACTTGCTTTTTAAAGTGTTGGCGGAAACTTTTACTTAGCCAGTAAAGAGCAAAGGGATTAACACAGGAATTGCTGAAGGCCAAAGCCCGAGAGAAAATAGTAGCTAGGAGATGAAAGGTAGAGGCATCTACAGAAGAGTGGTAGGTGAAAGAGCGGTATAAGTAGAGGATGTGGTTAGGCAGCCAGCAGAAAGCAAACAAACCAACCAGCACCAGCACAGTTTTTGCAACTCTCTTGCGGGATTCAATCTAGGAAAAATAATATCTAGTGTTAGTAACAGTTAATGACACATTTATGCAATTAGTGCTCCTACCAAAAAGGCTCTGAGCTTAATGAAAATCACTCTAGATAAATTACCTGAAAATTACTAAAAGGTATCTTCACAACGAAACAGAAAATAAAGCAAATGCAAAGGGGTTCTTTTGCCTTTGGGCATTGTGTTTCAAGTGAAGAAAACTGAAGTCTGAAACCCCGCTGTCTCTCACTGTGGTCTTCCCCTGGGAAGCCAGACTGAGGGGGAGAGGAGTCCAGGAGAGCTGGCTTTACTTTAAAGAAGCCTTACTGAGAGTTCAGGAACAAACCATCCCGATGTGCAGGAAGACTAGCAAGTATGGCAGAAGACCAGCTTGGCTTAGCAAGGAACTCTTCAGTAAACTCAGTCACAAAAAAGAAGCTTATAAGAAGTGGAAACTTGGACAAATAACTAGGGAAAAATATAAGGGCATTTCTTGGGCATGCAGGGATGAAGTCAGGAAGGCCAAAGCACAATTGGGGTTCCAGCTAGCAAGGGATGTGGAGGGTAACAAGAAGCGTTTTTACAATTATGTCAGTAGCAAGAGGAGGATCAGGAAAAGTATGGGTCCCTTACTGAATGGGGGAGGCAACCAGCATACTGAGCCGCATTGGTGGGTGTGTTGTCAGCAGGTCAAGGGAAGTGATTCTTCACCTCTATTCAGCTCTGGGGAGGCCACATCTGGAGTCCCGTGTCCAGTTTTGGGCCCCCGCTACAGAAAGGATGTGGACACATCAGAGAGAGTCCAGCAGAGGGCAAAGAAAATGGTTAGAGAGCTGAGGCACATGACTTGTGAGACGAGGCTGAGGGAACTGGGCTTATTTGGTCTGGAGAAGAGAAGACTGAGGGGGGATTTAATAGCAGCCTTCAACTCCCTGCAGGGGGGTTGCAAAGGGGACAGAGCTGGACTGTTTTCAGTGGTGGCAGATGACAGAACAAGGAGCAATGGGCTCAAGTTGAAGCAAGGGAGGTTTAGGTTAGATATTTGGAAGATTTTTTTCACTAGGAGAGAAGTAAAACAGTGGAACAGGTTACCCAAGGAGGTGGTGGAAGCTCCATCCTTGGAGGTTTTCAAAATCCAGCTAGACCAAGCTTTGGCTGGGATGATCTAGTTGGGGCTGGTCCTTTGAGCACAGGGTTGGACTAGAAGTGACTTCCTGAGGTCCCTTGCAACCCTAACTTTCTATGATTCTATGATAGTATCTGTTGGGGCCTTGTCTGAACTAGGATTTAAAGAAAGGATGTGTTTGCTAGCACATGTTCACATCACACCCTTAAATTCTAGTCTGGACAATTTCAAGGCTCTTTCTCTGATGGTTTAGAATGCAGTGGAAGGTGATATGACTTCTGAGTTCAGTACGGTTCCCATTCAGCAAAGAGAAACTCATTCCTGTCTACTTGGGCCCTTAAGGACATGTTTAAAGTTAAGTCATTATGACCTAAATATATTCTTAAATGCCTTGTTACTGTCTGTTCCTATAGATTATATGTCACAGAGACATATTACTTGTCTATTGTTTATATTCTATATGCAAGCCTTTTCCGTTTAAAAGTTAAGATTTCAATCCATATGTTAAACTTCTAAAAGCTGGACATTGGACTTCCTGGTCCTACATACCTGTTTGCGGGCATGGCCATGTTCTTCAGCTGGCATGTTGAATGTGCTTTTGTATAACGTTCTGGCAATAAGAAAATAATAGACAGAAATGACAGTGAGCGGGATAATATAGAACACCAAGAAGCAGACCAGAGAATGAGCTTCCTGCAGTATTTTCTCAGATACGGGATATGGGGCACATGCTTCAAAAGATATGTTTTTCTCAGGATTGCTGAATGAATATAAATCTGAAAATACAGCCTCTGGGATAGCAAACATCATGGAGACAATCCAGACACAGCCAGCTTTACAGCAGGTCTTCAGAACAGCATCTGAGGTCTGCAGGTCCAAGGGCTTCACAATGGCTCTGTACCTAGAAACATAACCAACATCAACATGTTAGAGTAAATGCAGCATCATTAGTCTTATAGCACTGTTAATTTAAACTTCTGGAGGCAAATGCATGCCTGCTACATCTAAACTAAGATTCATAGAATCACCTTGGCAATTAACATGAGATTAATTTTGTACATTTTATTTTTAAGTACACTATACATATATGTGCATTTGGTTTTCTATGTTATGACATAAGCAGGGGTGGGCAAAATGCGGCCTGTGTGCCGGATGTGGCCCACCAGGCCATTCTATCCAGCCTGAGGGGCCCCTAAAAAAATTAGAAAATTAATATTTATCTGCCCCTGGCTGCCTGTCATGCAGCTCTTGATGGCTTGCCAAAACTCAGTAAGCAGCCCTCCGCCCAAAATAATTGCGCACCCCTGACATAAAGTCATACTAGCTTCTCCATAAATGAGGTTGAAAACCTAAGGATAAATTTTAAGCAACTACTTAAATCCTGTTGTCTGTAGTCTACCTGAAACAGTCTTCCCCTGATTCATCTTATCTCCCAAATAACTTCTCTGGGAAGCTCCAATTGCTTTTGGCTTTGTAGGTCTTGCTGAGAAGAGGTTGTCCTCTTGTGCTTGGGCTGGAGGGCATTATAGGTTAGTATTGAGACAGAACTGTATATACTGAAGTTATAGAGCTGCAAAGAGAGGTAAATGAGCAAATATACAGACTAAGAGCTGATGAAGGAGTGTGCATCCCTCAATGTAACTGGGAGGCTGAATGTGGCTGGTGTATCAGTAGAAGACAAAGGAGAGTGAGGGAAATACTCAGCAGAACAGTAATCCAAGAAGCTCCCAGACCTAGCCTTGGAAATCAATGGATCAGGTTACTACTGGAGATAGACTCCAGGGATTTAGTAGGTGAAGAGATTTTTGTTTTTCTGATGTCTCAAGCAGAGGCATAGCAGCACAGCTTCCTAGCAGGGGCAACTGCATGGCACCTGGGGCAGCTCTAACTCCTGCCATGCCAATTGCAGTGGCTGCCATTCCCGGTCTGCAGCTCTTTTGTTCTTGTTTTTGGACCAGGCTGAAGGTAGCCTTGGCTTGGGTTCCCTATACAAAATTTTGTGCGTAAGCCCATGAAACTTCAAGCATTAGGGCACAGTATCATAGCTGTATCTCCCCACATCCCTGTGACCACCGTTCAGGTCATGTTCACTCATGACAGCTTTTAGGCAGTTATGGAACAACATTTAAAGTCCATTTTAGCACTTATCAATACACATTGGTCTGCTTTTGGTTCCTGCCTGTGGGACCGTGCGAGCTGGACTGAGTCAGACAGGCAAAATGAATGGCAGGAATGTATGGTGAATGTCAAGGCGAATGTGTAGGCAGGAGAAAGTGTGAAAAAGAGAGGAAGTGGCAATTAGGAGGATGGGGCAGAGGGCCCTGAGCAGCAGATGGAACCACTCTCCCTGGTCTCAGAATGGATGGATCTTGGGTGAGGCAGAGGAGATCCATGGAAAGTGCAAGAGGCTGGTGTGAAAGGGGATATAGTGAAGCAGGAGGCATGGCTCAAGAGGATGGAAGAGGGGCAGTGGAGATGTGTCATATTGTACTAGGTAAGGACCTTGTTCTCTGTCTCACCTCCAGGCAAATTCAGAAACAGAGCTGCAGATGAGAACATCAGTCATAACAACTCTCCTGATCCCAGATTTTTCCAGGCATCTTCATTCATTTATGCTCCTGCTTCCAGAATTATTTTAACCATAGGATTACTGGGTTAAAAATATCACGTAAAGCAATTATACCATGGCTTCCAGGAAGAATCAATATTGCACCATTCTCCATTGCTATTCTGGTCAACTTAATTCTATAGTATATGTTGTGTTGCTGGGAATTTACAGGCTGGCTACTTCACCCAGTTACTATTTGGGCTTGTCTATACTACAGAACTGCAGCCACGGTAGGTATGCTGTTATAGCTATGTTGGCAGAGCCCTCTATCAAACTTAAAGTATGCCCGCAGAAGAGGTTTTTCCCCCCTTCTGAACAACAGGCACTCTTCTGTTGGTGTAGCTGCATCTACATGTGCAGTTTTGCAAGCCCAGCTATGTCAACAGGGGATGTAATCCTTTGACTCTCTTTGCTGGCATGCCATAGCGATGGTGTCACAATTTTGTAGTAGTGACTACATAGAGTAGATAGTACTTTGGTTTGCTAGCATTCAAAAACCTTTTGTATTCTTCAACACTGAAAGTCAGTGAGATGGAGGCTTACATGCTGTAATAGTAAAGCTTTCAGTCTAATTTGAATTCTAGTTTCAGGACCTATGAGTTAAAATGTCACTAGAAAAGGTACAGTAACTAGAAGTCCAAAACAATGAAAATACTGAAATAAAGCAGTGTGGCATCAAAATCATAGTAAGCACCTGTCAGGATGAACATTATTATTGCATTGTAATAGCCATCAAATTGTAAAAAGTTTTGAAAGTAACAATCTTAAGAAGCAATTAGTGTTTTCTTAGTCTTAGGGCCCCATCCGAAGCTGATGGAGTAAAATTAATGGAAAAATTCCCGTTGTCATTAATCATCTTCTTATCTCTACTGTTCATCCTCCTGACTTCTTCCAGGCACCACTAGGTAGCACCAATATACAATCTTTCCCCTGCCTTAAATCATTTATCTTTCTTGATGTGTTTAAAGAAAAATATGTTTTCTACATGCTTCCAAGTACTAAAAGGTCAGGCTTGTTTTTCAAAATTCTTTCTAAATTGTCTTGCATATAAATAATTCTGCCACTTTTTCAGTTAATATTGACTTTTAGCTTACATTGTTTGTTTTTTTTTAATTGGAAAGAGATGTAGATTTTAGTCTGATCATTTAACATCATGCTTTTCTATCTGAGGACAAAATGTTACTGATTAACGCAAAGGGACAGATTCTATCTTCTCATTCATTCTGAACTTCATGCACAAGTACTTCTTAACAAACCAAATTGCTTCAGACCCACCTGTCAGCACTGAGAACAGTTAAAGTGAACACTGATACTCCAACCGAAGTTAGCTGGATAAAGGACAACAGCTTGCAGCCAATTCTTCCAAAGAGCCAGGTATCCACAATGTAGCGTGTTGCATCAACCGGCACACAGGTTAACAAAAGTAGCAGGTCTCCAAAAGCCAGGCTGGTTATGAAAATATTTGGAACCGTCTGCATTGATTTAATCTTAAAGAAGACTTTGATGAGTATAGCATTCCCAAGGAGACCCACTGAAATGATCACAGCATAGGTAATATAAATAGTGCACAGTATTTCTAATCCTGGAAAGGAGTCTTCAACCCATCTTGGATCTACGGTATCGTTGTCAGCAACAGCTCTCACTTCTGTACCATTTACAGATTCATATAATGTCTGATTAGCCAAATGCAAGTGTATCCAAGACATTTTCCCCAGGCTGTCTCGAAGTTGATCAAAAATGTTTAAAACCCGTAGCGTATAAGCAAGACCATATAAAAGTGTAGAATTGTGTTTGAAAGTGCAGTTCCCTAGCGCACAAGCTCATTTATTTCACCTCTCCCGAGTCTGAAAGCATGCTTTGGGTAAATGCACACAGATCCAGTTCTGAAATGTGTGGGAGGTGGAGAAATGTTTTATTGGCTTTTCAGCTACTGAAGGGGAGAAGGAGGAGGAGAAAAGAGGAAAGTGTTTCTTAACGGTTTTCTCTGCAGTGATATTTCTCTCATTGTGAAAAAGGTGTTTTTAATACTACTGCAGAAGCTATATTCGTATGTTATTTAGCAAAGATTCCATAAGAAATCCTAACAGTATTTTTACAAAAGAAATGTATTTCTTCAGACCAAAAACCTGAAACATATAAGTACAAAATCTGCTAACATAGTACTACACTTAATCTATTCTTAATATTAGATAAAAACATTGCAACACAGTTAATAGATATCTGTAGGAAAAGAAATAGAGACATATGGCAGTGCTTGTTTTATCCTGATTTTTCGCTCATGTCATAAGAATGCAGTGGGCTGCAGCAAATTGTATCCCCGTTCTGCTCACTTAGGGATTTTTAAGTTTACTCATCTGAACCATCCCATTGACTTCCATGGATGAGCTTGTGTTTAAAGTTATACATGTCTATAAGAGGTTATGAAGCCTGTTATTTGTAATGACCCAGACTTCATCAGGAGAACTTACAGCACAGACCTGTGGCAGACCTATAACTTGCTAGCATCTTTCCTATTTCACAGTATCAATTAAAAATTGCCAGTGCTGTAGTTTTCAATGCCTTTAGTTTAGCCAGTTAACAGTCAAATCTAAAATTCTGCTCTGAGATGATTTCATTGACTTGCATCTATGTAAGCAATGGTACTGGGACCTGGACCCCTGGGGCTGATTTCCAGTTTAATCATTCCCAAAACTTGGAGGAGGAAGGGACGACTAGGGATTGAAATTTGGGCATCCAGAGCTGGAATGCTAACTGGAGATTTTTTTTCTCCATGTCTCTTTGCTGCTAGATGCTAGCTTCTTCTCCTATATTCATGCAGATTGTAAGTGTCTAAACAAGCATGAATTCATGATGGATAGGATCCACCCAATCTCAGTACCAAATCATGGCGTAAAGCAGGCCTCTTTATACAGCCATAAACCATACCCCAAATGCTTGATTTTCTGCATACCAGCCAATATCTTTGCACCTACCCCTCGGCTCCACGTAACATTCAGGCAGTCATGCAGGACACAGACCCACAATGAGGCCATCTAGAAGAAGGGGTCATGCATGCATAAAAGGTGTGTGAATCAAAAATTCAAATTAGGACCTTTCATTGGGTTTTTTTATAGAAGACAAGTTCTTGTCACGATCAGTGCTAATAGGTCCTTTTAAACGGGTACAGTATGTAGGTTGCTCACACATTTAGGTGCTGCCGAGGATGCCTGATTATGTTGTCCACCCACACTGGCATAGCAGTGCACATTATGTTTAATACAGAGTTCTGCAACTGTAGCAGATTGTGACAGTTTAATGTCAGCTACTTATGTAAAATGTTTAGATTTCCTGTAAAGGAGGAGTATGTATCTCCAAACACTGGGAACTAATTGCTTTCATTATTTTTATTCACTGGGGGACAAATACAATCTACCAACTGTTGAGTACTCAGAGTAGCACAGAGAATGAAACACCAGGCGTGTGAGTAACTCAAACTGGGATTGATCTGAGATAATCTTGTAACTTGCAGCTATGAATGCACGAGAGATTTGCTCATGTTGCCGTGTTCAGCTGTGAATTCGGATCCAAACTCCCCACCTCTCTCCAGTCTCAGGATATTCAGACGTGTTGGAGAGATTGGGGCTCTTGGAATAAAGCCTGAGACTCACATTTGCCTTTGCAGTTTGAGCATTTTGTACCACAGTGTCGAAAGGAAGAGGAGGAAGAGCTGGCCCTGGGAAGATCCCCTCAGTGTTAGGGATCCTCTGGTAGCATGGAGGCTCCTAAACCACCAGCCCTCCCAGCAGGTGGTAGAAAGGGCACATTCAGGGAAAAGGGATTTTCCTGGCACTCTCATTCAGCTGCCGTGTTGGCTGCTTGGGTCTGCTAACAGTTGGCACAAGTTAAAGTAGACCACAAAGAACTCAAAAGCCCCTTTTCAAGCACACTTCACTCTGTCTGTTTCTCAACTGAAGCCAAGGGTCTGTGATGGATTCTGGATCCAAATCTAAAGGTCCCAAGATGATATACGGATTCGATGCAGAGTTTGTGTCAGGCCTTTTCTGAAATGTTAACAACATCAGGTAAACGAAGAAAACAAAGACAAATCTATTCCACCTGCCTTTATCTCTGATGTAGCATAGTATAACTGCATAACAAGCAACACTCCAGCAATAGGCTTCTTGCTCATGTTTGCAGAGACTGTATACGTACCAGCTTCATACATCCCCCTTCTCTCAGACTCTTTTTGGGGAGGACTGGAGGCAGTTTGCACTTGTGATGGAATATCTGGCTGCCGACTTCGCAAACCAGCAGTGTTTTGCTTTCCAGACTGGAGAATATTTTCACAGCTGAAGTGTCAGAGTTAGGAATTGGAAATGTCAGTTTGAAAAAGCCAAAAAAAAATTATATGCAAATCGTTCATCTTGTGGAGTTTGAATTTCTCTGTCCATCCATCCTCTGCTATTCTTTAGTTTCACAGAATGAGCTGACTACATTGAAAAAAAAAACAACTTTAGAACATTTTAAAACTAGATTCTAGTGGATTTCAGTAATGAAATTCCAAACCAGAAAAGGAAGAGAATGGCATCATCGCTCTAAACTCTAAACAACCGGAGAGATTATTTTAGAGCCATCTCTTCAGGTGTTAAAAGAAAATCAGTTTGGGTAATTCTGACTGTTCTCAAAGTACTACGTTACAGACATGCATGTTTCTTTTAAACTCAGAATATAAGTAAAGCACTTTATAGAGTGTTTTATTTCACTATCTTCGAATGCAAATACTCTATTTTAATGCAGCCTGATTGCTGTCTTAAGTCATTTCCATATACTGTGCACCCACTCAGAAAAATTCCTTTCAAAGGCATTTGCTCTGCAGCAAACCAAAATGTAGAGAAAACCACAATTTTTTTAGGGAAATACATTTGTCTGAAGTATAATTATTCGCAGTCAAGATTCTTTGGGTAAATGTGGTATCTTTTATTAGCCCAACTAAATATTCTCAGTAGCATATTTCTATTATATTTTCATCATCCTATTGGTCATGCAGAGTTGATTGCTTTTTGTGAAATCAATCAGAATGTTTCATAGCTAAACTGGCAGGTATACAGTTTTATAAACAGGGATATTCCACAAAATTCACTAACCTATTTCCTTCAGGATTATTGTAATTCACCTTGGGCACATCTATACATGCCTATTAATGCACATTGATAAACTCCAAAGCTTATCGCTCCAGAGCTTATTGCTGCCAGGTGCGCATCTGCGTGTGCAGCATGTTGGACTGGGGCGGAACAGCCCCGGCTGGCTGTGGGGTCCAGGGGGTCAGCCTGCCAGCCCAGGGCTGTTCCCCCTGGTTCAGTGTGCTGGGGGGGGGGCTGGCTGACACACACAGGTACTTCAGTATGGGGCTAGCCAGCAAGCAAGCACCCTTGTGTTGCAGCCAACTATGTGCTCTGCTGCAGAGTTCTTTACTCTGTAAAATACAAATACTATCCTGCTATGGAGTAAATTAGTTAACTGCAGCCTAATAGAGGTGCACATGTAGACCCTGAGACATTTACTCCACAGCTAATTAGTGTGCTGTGCAGTAAACATCTCGTGTAGATGCGCCCCTTCCTAGGTTATTGTTATTTTACTCTCTGTGCGTAGAGATATTTAGCTGCCTTTTAATGTTTTTTTAATGTCTCAAGCTTGATTACTGCAATTGCTTTGACAGTCTCACTTAATAGTTTCTCCCATCTGTTTATGGCTGGCTGATACATGTCTCTATCTTTTTGTTACGAGGATTGACAATCATCTTCCTAAAGAGTTAAATAACAGTAAGGAGATGCTGAACTGGCTGTCTACTCCTGATTTTGGGAAGCTGTGTGTTCAGGTCCCCTCTCTCCTCATGGGTTCTGATAGTTTTTTATATGCCCACACTGAAGATTAAAGTTTTACAAATTCAGTCTCAAGAGTTGACGACACTTGGCCATTGAAATGTGGCAGAGCCACCCATTTTCTCAAGAGAAGGGCTCTCAAGTGTGAGGACAGGGCCAGCCATTCTTCTTGCCTAGAAAACAGTCCCCACATAGCTGTGGAAAGGGTTCAGGGAGGTTTCCTGTCAGCTAGCTTCCCCGAGTGGTTCCCTACCCACAGAAGGGACAATATGACAAGGCTTGCTCTAGATCTCAGTCCCTACTGTCTCCTTACTGACCACAAGGATGTTTCTTTTATAGACTGGCCCCTTCTCCCAGGAGAGCCAGCTCCCAGCCACAAAACCCTTCTGAGTACTCCATCTACCAGGATCTTTAGCCTCACCGGAACTGATACCCAAGTAATGGGAATGCAGACCTGGTTCACATGCTCTGTTACAGATTCTGTGACCTGGGAGCCTCTGAAGTTACAGATTTGCCAGCATTATCTGAATTGCTTCTGCTAGAACCATAAAAAGATAAGGGATCACGCACATTGTTGTAATCTCTCTCTCTCCCCTCTTGCCTTGCTCTGTCTGTTGTCTTCTTCAGTCTCTGTGATTCATAGAAAAGCCCAAAACAAACCTCTGCATTTTAATTTCTATACTTTCTTTATGATAAGGCAGTATTTCTAGTATCCTTTTTCAAAGAGAAATATGTGACATCTGACCCAACAGCATGGATGATACCTTCCTCACCTTAGCTTCTACTTGACCGGTCGTGAATATTTCATCTCTGTATTAAGGAAGTTGTATATGGCCTGGGACTCATAT